GATGGAGGGCAGTCACTGCAGGCAGGTGATTACATGGCAGAGGAGGGAGAGCGGTCTGGACACTATGGACAGAGTTTGCTCAGGAGATGGTGAGGGTGTAAAATCAGGGCAGAGTGGCGAGAGCAGGAAAGGGGGAAACAGAAATACTATAAGGCCAAGTCATTAGGACTTGTGGAATGTCAGAGTAGAAGGACCAGGATGACTCCCAGGGTTCAGGTATTTGGGAGATGAAGAGAGGAAGCAGATCCAAAAGCTAGCATCAGGTACGCGAGGGAATGGCAGGTCCCACAGAGAGTGGTCCTTAGTGTCCCACACAGCACAAGGAGCATTTCCAAGGACCCCAGAGGACTTAGGAGGGCATAGGAGGTGAATAGGCAGAGTCCATGGATATAAACTGCACATTAAGACGTCGGGCTGAGAAGCGGAGGAGGAGGTAGTAAGGAAGTTAGAAGGAGACATAAAATCAAGGAAGAGACTTTTTTTTTTTTCTTTTAAAATAGGAGACTGTATGCGGGGTGGGGGGATGCTGAGAGGAAAGAGACACGGGTTGAAAATACAGAAAAGAGAGAAGAATCCTGAAGGAGGAATGCTACAGAAGAGGAAGAGGAAGAGATTTAGGAAAAAAACAAATAAAAAATGCAGGGATTAATATTAGCGAGGTCTAGATCAAGAGTCAGAGCAGCATGGGTGGGCATGAGGAAAAGTCCTCAAATGCTCGCAGGAAAGTCCAAAGTGTGGCAAGTCCCTGGAAGCACACTGTGACACGTGTGAAGTGCCAACCCAATGCCATGTGCTGTGCAAGGCTCTGGAAACACAACAAAGAGTGAACACGCCAGGCCTTACCTTCTGAGTTGGGTCAGTCCCCTGAACCTGTCTCCTGCCGTCCCTCCATTCCTCCCTGTCTTCCTTTTTCTAGTGCAGTCTCTGAAAACGTCAACCCACCGCATGCAGCAACAGAAGCTGCAGACAGGGTAGCCCTGAAAAAATAGGACAATTAATCTAATCACTTACCCTGCTATCAGGAACATCCCTGTTATGAATGACAAGAATTCAAAGCCCCACAGAGGAAGTGGGTTTGTAAGTCAAGTAACGGATACTTAATGTTGCCTTAGAAAAATGCTGTGTTATCAGTATGGGCTGTGTATCTTGATTACTGGAAATATATATAATCTTACTGTCACAGTCCTAATTTCTTAACACCAGAGAATTCAAGAGCCAGACTTAAGTACAGAAAGGTCTGAGATAAGTGTTTCTTAAAGTATGTACAAATTCTCCAGTAAGAGAAGGCCTGATAAAGAGTCAAATGGGTGCTAACTATTCAAAGCACTGTAGGTTTTTAAGAGCTTTTTGAAATCTCACTCTGCCAAGGTTATTTTGTTTAAGTCAATACTATGATTTTTGTAATATAAGACAATTGACTATCACCAATAAAGCCAGCAGTCATATAAGAACTAGTGAAATTGAATGACTGCAGCAGCCAACAATGTGGCAGGAATAAATGTCATTTAGATATAGTGTTAAAAGTTTTTTTCTGGTGCTGGGCTGTAGCAGACATCAGGAGGTAGAAAGGATAGAATGGAAGATGTGCCAACAACGTAACATGCTCATTCCCCTCCCTGGCCACACTCTCAAATCAATAAGACTGCTGTGGGCCCTGCCAGGAGCACAGAAGAGGCCAGCTCTGAGTATGATGGGGGAGGAAGGGGGTGCTTTTCTCCCTCAGGCAGAAGGAGACAGCACCCACTACCCTCGACCACCTGTCTCACGGTAGGCAACTCAAATTACTGAGCAGCCTCAGCCCGCCAGGCCTTCTCTAAACACTCAGTAAGTTAGGGAGAAAAGGGGCCAGTGTCAGGACCTGGAGGGCCCCGCGCTCCCGCAGGGGGGACAGCCAGGAGCTGTCCCCCTTCTGCCTCCCCGGGCAGGAAATGAATGTGTGAGGCTGCTGTGATTGACAATATGATCAAACATACTACATACAGTTTTCTAATCATAATCTGCACTTTCCTAATATGTAAACCTTTCTTCAAAGGACACAATGACATCTTTAAAAAGGTATTCCAGGTAATATTAACCCAACACCACTGAAATGACTCAGAAAGCTTACTTCTTAATAACATTACATTTCCTAAATGATGGCTAGAAGCTCACAGTTTTGCTTTTCAGATAAAAATCCTTGAGTCACAGGACCACACAAAATATATACCATATAACTATTTATTTAAAATGGCCTTTCTGAATAGTCTGAGTCCTTAGAAAAGCATTTTTAAGCTACACAATTGGCTTTCCACTGCTATCTTTCCATTTTAATTCACTTTAATATTTGAGTTGCCCTCCTTAGGCCCACGTTGGGAAATTACAAATTAACAAACAGTTCACTGAGCTCCTTCCCAAGCTGAAATGGGGATGAAGTAATGTCCTTTTTCTGAGAGCAGGACCAACGCTATTTAAAAGGCGGGAAAATGTGGGAGGGGCTGGGAGGAGCCAGGCTAACTGCAAAGTTAGCTTATGTACTGTTGGCTTGCTTGCATTGGCTAATAACTCGTGGCACGGTGATCAGGCAACTGAGTTGCCTCGCTTGTGGCTTTAAAAACCTAAAGTAAAAAAAAAAAAAAACGGCTCATCCCGGCACTGGCACTCTGAATTGGCTGGTGCAGTCCGGCAGCTGGCAATAAAAGGTTTTTTTTTTTTTTTTTTTCCTTTTCCATATCGGTCTCCGAGGGTGATTTCTCCCAACGCCTATAACAGTGAACACACTCCAATGACCCATCAGGGCCAGAGTTCAGATACTCCCTCCTTCTGATTTTGTTCCTTCGCAGACCTAAGATCGGAGAATTGAAATAAGAGTGGGTTGAAAGGGGAAAAATATTTTCAGAATTGCAATATGATTTAGCCAAATCATTGTTTCAATTTTTGCAGTCAATTCCACTAATACCCTGTCTTCAGAAAAGACCACTTTATCTCAGCAATTGACTTCAGTCCAAGCAGAGCCTGCGATTTCTGCACTTATACTCAGTTGGAACTGGCTCTTCAGACGACCCTGGACAAAAAGCCCACCTGAAAGCTTCCATTGATTCACTCATTCTTTCAGCAAGTGTTTTCTAACCACTACTGTGAAGCCACAGTGCGTGACAGGGGAGGGAGAGAGGTGTCAAACGTGGTGAGCTTTCTGTGGCCGGATGGGGCACTATTTGCAACGGCATAAACTAGAGTGGACGGGTAGCTACGACGTCCAGCCGCGTGGGATCCTATGGCGCCGGCGCCCTGCCAAAAAGTACGCAAGAAAAGCTTTGCCCAATTCGCGCTGGCACTACTGTGTCAAGTGCGTCCCGGGCAGCTGCTAGAGGCGGGCGCCAGAACCGCTGCACGTCGGGGAAGGCAACTCACCCTAGCTTCTGAGTGCAGAACCAAACTTAGGAACTTGGTTAGAGTGAAGGGAATGGGGCACCAGGGACAGAGAGCAAAAGGCTGTGGATCGCAGGTCAGGGTCAAGACCAGAGGGCAGGGAAGGGACTGACCCCAGCAGCTGGAGTGGCGCTCACCTGCGCTGCGGAGCTTGGGGTTCCTGAGCACCGAGAAGATGACCATGAGGTTGCCCGCGAGGTCCACGGCGGTGGTGACGATGAGCACGGCGGATAGTGTGGGTGCCACCCACGGAGGCCTGGGGGGTCCCCGAGGGCCGCGTGCTGCCCGCCCCGGACCAGCCCGGGCGCACGTCCGGCCCGCCGGCGTCGCAGCAGTTAGCGAAAGAGCCATTCTCTGGAATCGCGGACCCCCCGGCGCCGCCCCGGATCGCCGCAGGACGCGCAGTGCTGAGCGGGGCGCTCCCGCCCGCTTCCCTGCCCAGCCTGAGCAGAGAGGAAGGAGGCCAGTGGGGAGGGAGCTAGAGAAGATCATTACTGAAGCGTGGGCGGGGGTGGAGAAGGTGGACTTGGAGTGCAGGCGGTGCAGAAGGGGGTGCGACTCAGTCTGCGTCCCTCAGCGGCGCGCTCTGCAACAGCGGGACGGCGCCACCGGCGCAGCCGCCCGGCGCGCAGCGCGTGCCTCGCCTGCTTCAGGCCGAGGAGCGTGTCTGGCCTCTGTCCCTGAGCAGCCCGCCACGCCAGAGACTCCGCATTTCCTCCCAAGCAGGGTGGAGTGTCACACTCTCAGGAGCTGCGGAGAAAAGCGAACCTGCGCTATTTATTGCGCACGAGCTGTGTATCATGGGAGGCGCTGGTGATGTCTCTGCTGTGTCCTCTTTACAAAGCCAATACTTTAACAGACGTATAAACATCTGTTTAAACACAATACTCAAACAGACGTATGGTCAATACTGGGGGTTATCAAAATATGGTTTTTGGAGGATTTACAAGAAGAGTGAGGCAAAATTAACTGGAAATAAGGAATTCAGGTGCCCCCATTATTGGAAATGTTTGAGTGCTAACTGTGAAAATAATAGCTTATTTCTTTTGGGGGTTAATTTGATGCCAAGCACCGTCTCAAACATTTTTCACACTCACTAAAATCACTAAAGTCAAAATGACTGATAATCCGACATTTGGTGAGGAAGTGAAGCAATGGAACCCTCCTATGTTGCTTTATGAGACTGCAAGATGGTACAGCCACTTTAAAGAGCCGTTTGTTAGTTCCTTCTAAAGTCGAACATATACCTGTCCTACGACCAGAAATTCCATGTGAAAATGAAAATATATCTTCATTAAAAAAAAAATTGTACAAGAATGTCCGGAGCAGCCTTATTTATAATAGCCCAAACCTGGACATAATCCAACTCTGCATCAGCAGAAGAGTGGGCAAACAAACTGCGGTATATCCATGCCATGGAACACTGCTTGGCAATAAAACCTACCGATCTACACAACAGCATGGATTAATCTCAAAAATTATATTGAAGAAAATAAGCCAGATACCAAAAAGTGCCTATCATATGATCCATTTATATGCAGTCCAAAATTAGGAAAAAATTAATCTGTTGTGATAAAAATCAGCACAGTGGTTGCCTATGGGGGTGAAGTTTGACTGGAAATGAGCTCAAAATAACTTCTGGGATGTTATTTTTATATATGTTATTTTATGTAAATTATGCTCTCCCAATCCCCCCCCCCCCCCCCCCCTTCCTTCTTTTTTTTTTATAATTTTTTTTTTTTTTTTTTTGTTTTTTATAAGATAGAATCCCCCCCCCCCCCCCCCCCTTCCTTCTTTTTTTTTTATAATTTTTTTTTTTTTTTTTTTGTTTTTTATAAGATAGAATCCCCCCCCCCCCCCCCCCCTTCCTTCTTTTTTTTTTATAATTTTTTTTTTTTTTTTTTTGTTTTTTATAAGATAGAATCCCCCCCCCCCCCCCCCCCGCCAAAAAAAGAAAAAAGAAAAAGAAAAATTCGCAAACAAAAAGGAAGGATGCAGTGGTGAGGGAGGTGGAGAAGGAGTGGTCAATGAAAGCAGAAAACTCCCTGAGAGGTGAGCTCATCTAGAGCCCAAGGAAGGAATACTACCTTTAGGGGAGAGAGGAGCAGAAGCCAGGTGCAAATTCGGAAGTGCTTCTGGACTGCTGTGAGGACATGAGGGTGTTCCTCTCTGGCTTCTGTATTCTCAGAGTTTGGGGCTACTTCATTAGCCTCATTCAGGGGAAGAGAGAATGGGAGATTTAAAGATAGGAGAAGTATGAAGTATTGTTCCAGAAAGTACTGGCTGTTGGCTAGGAAAGCACAAAGGGTGTGTTGGGGGAGCGAATGTCCCTGTGCTGCGAAAGAGTGTGGCTTTAAACGAAGCCAGTCAGCCCGGTTGGAGGTTGTTAATTGGCAACTCAGAGCAGCTCAGGACAGGCAAGGAGAAGGCAGAGCGAACCCTCAGTTAGGGCTGGGGTTGCCAGGTGGGAGTAGATAACACAAGAAAGTGCAAGGGCCTGATAGGCAGATGGACCCTGGGGTTAAAGTTAACTGGATGATGAGGAAACAGAGAGGCTGATGGGCTGTGAGCAAGAGGGAAATCAAGGGATCGGAGGCCCTCGAATTCAAAGAACTGTGGTGAATGAATTAAAAATAACAAGTTGTGGTATTTAAGGAGTGACTTGTTTGAAACGGATTTCTGAGGGCCGCAGATTCTGTTGCTGTGAAGAATTATGTGAGTGGGTCCCTGGAGGAAGGTGGAGGAAAAGGTTGTTAGAGATGAGATTGTCAGGGAACTGAGAAGTCAGGGGGTGGGCATTATGGTAGTGTGAGAAAAGGAAAGTAGTCAGGAGGCAAATCCCCAATGAATGAAGAGGAATAACCAGTGGGTTCATAGGAGAACAACAGAGAAAAGGAGAAAGAGGCACAGCTGGACAGTGTGAGGGTCATGGGGCTTCTTCAGGAAGAAGGCACAGCCATGCCTTCTCTCTCTTACATGTGCAAACACATAGTGGTGCTTCTCTGGCTTTCAGTGGCCCTCATAGCAATATGTTGAATATGCTATAAATTGCCTTAGTCCAGACATACACTCTAATAACACACATTTGGTTAATTGGGCATGAAACATAGGAATTTGCCCTGCACTGCCCTGGAATGTGATTGTCCACTTTGCCTATATCAAAAATAGTGTTTCTCAAGACCCATGGGCACCAGGAATTGGGGCAATCGTCTACTTAAGAAGTCAGTTCTGATGACTGGTCAGGCTGTGCCTTAATTAACAGGGCAGGGGAATGGTACAGCCACTTTGGAAGACAGTTTGGTGGTTTCTTACAAAACTAAACATACTCTTACTGTACAATCCAGAAGTCACACTCCTTAAGATTTATCCAAATGAGTTGAAAACTTTGTCCGTACATAAACTTGCACACAGATGTTTATAGCAGATTTATCCACACTTGCCAAATTTGGTAACAACCAAACTGTCCTTCAGCAGATGAATGGATAAACTGTGGCATATCCAGACAATGAAATATTATTCAGCACTAAAAAGAAATGACCTATCAAGCCATGAAAAGACATGGGGAGACATTAAATATTACTAAATGAAGGAAGCCCATCTGAAAGGGATATACACAGCATGATTTCAAATATATGACATTCTGGAAAAGGCAAAAACTATGGAGACAGTAAAAAGATCAGTGATTTCCAGGAGTTTGGAGGGAAAGAAAAGATGGACAGACAGAACACAGAAAATTTTTAGGGCAGTGAAACTATTCTGTGTGATACTATAATGGTAAATACATGTCATTATACATTTGTTAAAACCTATAGAATGTACACCATCAAGAGTAAACCTTAAAGTAAACTATGGACTTTGGGTGCTAATAATGTGTCCATGTAGGTTCATGACTTGTAACAAATGTAGCACCATTGCAAGAAATTGACAGTAGGGGAGGCTGTGTACATGAGGGGCCAAGGGGTATATGGGAACTCTCTATACACTTAATTTTGCTGTGAACCTGAAACTGCTCTAAAAAATAAAGTCTATTTAAAAGAAAGTGTTGATGCTAGGAAGGATGAAATGCTCCAATGCTTGCACATCCTCGGCCAAAACAAAATCCCCCTCCCTATCAACAAGACAAACTAAAGTAAATCTAGAGAGAAAGTCCTGATGGTGCAGGGGTTGGAGCCATGACGCCTGAGTGATAGAGAGCTCCAATGCTTGCACATCCTCGGCCAAAACAAAATCCCCCTCCCTATCAACAAGACAAACTGAAGTAAATCTAGAGATAAAGTCCTGATGGTGCAGGGGTTGGAGCCATGACGCCTGAGTGATAGAGAGTGGTGCCCAGATTTAGGAGAGAGTATCACATTCAAGTAACTGAGAAGATGTCCTAGAAGATGTGAGCTCAGGGATTGGGTTGAAGCAGCGGGCAGGAACTTGGTAGGTAGGTCTCCAAAGCCACACTGAGGACTCTGCACTTGATCTCAAGTACAGTGGAATCTGTTGAGAGCTTTGCCAGATATCTGTACCCTGCCCTGAGGACTTTTTCCATCTTCCCTTCCAATGGACAGAGCATCTACTGCAGAAAGCAGTTCCTTCATTGACATCCAAGTGTGGAAGAGTGGTGACTGCTTCAAATGTTCCAGGCTAATGGCCTCTTCAGGAAAAAGGATTCTTTTCACAATAGGTGAAACCAGAAGTTGCTGCCAATAATGAAATGAAATTATATGGGAGCAAAACCAAACCTTGGAGAAAGGAAGAGAGAGACAAAGGAGAGACATTCAAGATTCATAGATGGTTTCTTAACAAAATAAGTCAACATTTTGAACACCTATCTAGTCTCCTAGGATTACAAAAATGAGCAGGACTGGTTTTCTTTATACCTGCCCCCAAGTTCAAGCTCAAATCAATATCTGCCCATAGAAGTTCAGTTTCCTGCTTCCCACGATAATAGTTTTCCCTCCAGATAGTACTTGAAACCTTTCCCAAACCACATTCAACCAGGCCATCCTGTGTCTTCTCTCAACAGCTCTGTGAGGTCTGGGAGGTGGGAATGATTGATCCGGCTGGAAAAGAAGGAAACAGACTCTCAGAGATAAGCAACTTGCGAAGGCTGGTGACTGACATTGAGTGTCCAGCTGTCTAAAATAATCCACTTCTTTTACTAAATGTATGACAGCTTTTATTCCCTCTGTATAAAATATACAACATATATAAAGAATATAAGCAGAATATTCTTTGGAGAACCACTTGCAATGTGGCTGAAACAACCACTTGCCCTGTTAATAATATTGTAAGCAATGACAATCACAGCCATAAATAATATATTGAGTGTTTACTCTTCATCAGACATGTGGGACCTATGGATTGTTTTTGTTTAATCCTTTCAACATCTCTATGAGATGAATACTATCTGTATTAGTCCACTTTCTGTCACTGATATCAGAATACCTGAAACTGAGTAATTTATAAGAAAATGAAATTTATTTCTTATAGTTTTGGAGGCTAGGAAATCCAAGGTTGAGGGGGCACATCTGGTGAGGGCATTCACGGTGGGACTCTCCAGAGTCCCATGACAACACAGAGTATCACATAGTGAGGGCTGAGCAAGAGCATTTTTCCACATGCTTCCTTCCTGTCCTTATAAAGCCCACAGTCTACTTCCTGATAATACATTGAACCCTTATCCCATTAACCAATTCATGAGGGCATAGTCCTCACAACACAATCACCTCTTAAAGCTCCTGCTTTTCAATACCACATTAGGGGTTAAGTTCCAACATAGTACCACTACTGTGAACTGTGAAAAAACTCAGAACTAGAGAGGTTAAAAAACCTGCCCAAGGATTCCCAGCCAGTGGTGTGAGCCAGGATTGGAAGCTAGGCTGTCTGATTCCAAAATCTGGTGCAGTTTTGCTCTTACAATGGATAATATTAAAACCTCTGGACTCTTCTCTACCTTAAGAGGACAGGGAGGCTCAACAATATTGGGCAGGTTGAACCCTGGGAAAAGATGTAATAAGACTCCAGATGTTCCTTCTGTCAGCTTTGAAAAAGATAGTCTTTATAAAAAAAAAAAAAAAAAAAAAAAAATCACTCCACTGCCTAGCATTGTGAAGCTGCTCTAATCTTTTCCTGAAGAAAAAACCAAAAGAACCAAAAAACTGGGCAATCTTCCTGGCATTTCCCAGCACATGCCCAGGGCAGAAACCACTCAGGTGATCCTGCGACCAAGCCAAATAGGCAGGGTCAGAGCAGGTAAGTTCTCCACTGCTGGTTGCATGGTGTTTATCTTTTCTGACTTTTTCTTTCCCTTCATGGGAAACAGTGAGAGTCACTGTCCTGGTTATTTCTGATTTGTATCTAACCTAACAGCTCAATATTCAAGCAGAAAGACCTGACCTCTCGAAATACACCAAATCCTGAGTAAGCCAGGCCAGTGTTTCACTATTATCACACCCTGTCTGGATTAGATTATTTAGCAAATACCATATATATATATTTAAGCACATAGATTTACTTACATATAAATTATATATAATGACAATTTTTAGCTTTTGTTTTATTGAAAGTATTTAAACAATAGTTTACAGTTTATAAGAACAGCATACTTTCTCATAAAGATAAATTATAAGCCAAAAATCATAAGCAAAAAATTTCAAGTGAAAGGGCTACATCAAGGTTGCAAAGGTTTTGAGTTCTACAGATGAAAATTTATTTTGGAATCTTGGGCCGGCCCAGTGGCGCACTGGATAGTGCGCCGCTTGGGAGGCGCGGCCGCCCGAGGGTTCGGATCCCACATACAGACCGGCTCCCGCTCACTGGCTGAGCGAGGCGTGGGAGCAACACCGAGGTTTGCAATCCCGTTGCCGGTCCCTGGTCCGGTACGGGGGCAACACTGAGGGTTGCGATCCGTTGCCGGACATGGAAAAAAAAAGACAAAAATAATTTAAAAAAATAAAAAAAATTTATTTTGGAATCTTAATGCTTGTTTTTAAAACCTGGGGAGGTCAGAGCACAGCCTTGTAACACCAAGGTCAAGGGTTCTGATCCCCTGGCCAGCTGCCAAAAATAAATAAATATATAAATAAAATAAAACCTGGGGGTGAGGGGACCCAGCCATAGATCATGTGGCTCCACCTCCAAGAGCAGAGGGTGCTAAGTTAGAGTCTTGGTGCCTGGGCTGGCTGGGCTGTGTAACCAGCCTCCTCTCTTGGGGATCAGACTTAATCTATCCCTGGGGACCCTGCAGAGATGCCATTAGCAGAGCAGTCTTCTTCCCCAGACACTGGCTTGCAAATCCTTAGGAACTATGGGCCTCAATCGTTGTCAGGACTAATTTACAAGAAGCCCAGCCACCACCATCAGCACCTGCATCCCTCCCTAGGCTCCCTAGGCCTTACCTGGGCCACACAGTTGCCAGCCTCCATGGGAGTGGGGGTGGGGGGTTGTTCATGCTGTCTCCAGTCAGGTTCCCCTGCTGGATGTCCTTTACAGACATGTTCTTCACTTTAAACCTACGTTGTCATCAGGCAGGGTGTCAGCTAGGGTCTCATGGAGCATTGCCACAGATTTGGCCTCAGTGGTGACATTGCTGGGGACAAAGGTGATCACCACCCTGATTTCAGGAAGCCAGTCTCCACATGGCCCACTGCACAGTGCTGATGGGAAAAGGGACTCAGAGTCCCAGACACACACAGGGAAGACCTGTCCCCACCCTAAACTCCCAGTCTCAGAGGGACCCTTTCTTCTCTAAGTTCCTGATGCTTCCCCACTTGAAAATGAGATGCCCAGTGGTGGTGGACTGGCCAGAGTCCACGTGGCAGATGACAATGATAGTGACAGGGGACTCCTCCTTGCCCATGGCAGTAGGTCTACTTGAGTCGCTGCTGGACACCAGGCAGTGAGGCTGAATCCTTCCAAGCCTGTCTCCTTCCTCTGCCTCCACTCTGCTCCTGGCCGGCTCCCTCCCCCACCCCCCACTTCAGTGCTCAGCTTAGAGTCTGGACATGGGAGGTTAAACTGAAGAGTAAAGCTGA